TATACGTTGCCCAGGGTGCACCACGTGGAGGTAAGTCTATCGCACACCCCAGATCATGGATCAAATTAAACTAAATTTAATGTTAACTTCAAATCATGCTTCTTCAACTGGAACAAATTTCATTAATGGGATCTTAGTTTTGTGCTTCATATGACACATATTTATGAATTTTTTTCTCTGATATGTAGCTGTCCCTCCCCCGCCCCACCGAACTTCACAGTGTGCTGCTAATTTGATGAGTTTGGGGTGCCCATAGACTTACCTCCACGCGGTGCACTCTGGGCAACGTATACTCATACGGCAAAAAGTCTATTAACCGACAGTTGACTTCTCACTTCAAACTACCATGACCCCACTGAATGTCATATTCCACCACTTCAACAGCACTCATCTTACCTTTTCTCTGCCTTTGTGCCCATCTGTCTCTTTACATCTGTGAAACACTCTTCTGTTCCCCCCGCCCCTCTCGACTTTTTTCGCTTTGATATTCCTCCCATCTGTGAAGTCCGAAGTCAGCTAAAGGGCTAATGATAACTATCAAAACGCCTGCCATTTGAAATAAATTAATTTGGTGAGTCTGGATGTTTTTGAAGGTGGTGAATTTACGTTAATCTTATCAGTTTTTGTTCAGTTTATAACAAGTATGTCAAAACCAGAGCACTGCCTTTCAAGATGAAATTTTGTGCTTCCTTACCACTTTATAAACAATGGACAGAGGCTTTTAATCGATTAGCTTCAAGGTCGGCCACTTTGGGCAAAAAGTTTTGTTCTGAGAAAGGTAATAGTTGAGATTCCTAAACTAATATTATGCCCGTCACATTCGAGAGAAACTTAAAATTTTCAACTGATCTCCTGGATTAACAATTTGATTGGATCTCCGTGCTCAGGCGCACCTAAATATGTTAGGCCACTGTGGAAATATCTTCGCTGCAATTATTAGTCGATCATATATCGTCCTTCTTTTAGCCCAAATAACTAAATGTAATTAGTAAAAATAGGCCATTTATAAAATCTTATTTGAGTATGACCAGCAGTGGCTTAAGAACGAGCAACTGAGAAACTATAAAAGCAAAATGGAATGATATTGTGATTAGATTAATACTTTCAAGCGAAAACTAGTCCTTTAGGTGCAGAAAGTATTCGACTGCGAATAGAAATTCAAATAAAACACTTTATTGATTTCGATGAAAGGAGGTTGGAAACATGTTATTATTCACTTAACTAATGTCTCCGAAAGGCTCTTGTAGTTAGTGTACTAACTTATGTTGTGCCAAATATATGAGTGTTTTGTCCGATCGATTTTAATCGTCCAGAAACCTAATATTTGTCCTCTTTCCACCACGATCTTGAAATAACATCAGCTGTTTATCTCAATTTTTATCAAATTATTTCCAATAACTGGAGCATGAATGGGCTTCAAAAGAATACTGACATTTTAAATAAGTAACTTAAACTGTAGTATTAAAACGAACGAGATGATGGTGTACCTCAACTGACGTCTAATATTTAACTAAATGTGAACTTTATTCGAAGTCCAGGCCAGTTGCTTAATCACAACAGAGCCAGGCCTACAAAATGACTTCTTGAAGGTTAACTTTACATTATTTTGAAGGGTTTTGTTAATAAAATACCGAGGTAAATGAAGTAAACGACAATTTCCATAGCGTCAAAGAACAGACCTGTAGAATCTGGAATATTTGTCTCAGCCTCTGGAGAAATTCATTCGAAGCATAGGCGAATATACTTTTATTAGTAGTGTTAGAAAGTTCCTTTTCTTAATTTCCAATAAATTCTTATAGAGAGGGGGGGGGGAGAGATTTAAAAAAGTAATGAATCCGATTGCAATTGTCCCAAAACTGCTCATTTCCTTTAATTTTTCCCATCGAAATTCAAGAGGCTCCTTTACTCCCATTGGAACCCCTCCCCCCCCCCACTTCTTCATTAGTTGACTCCGCAACCCACTTACCTCCATTCTATTCCGCAATGTCAGATAACCTAAACCTCGATGGTTAAACATGAAAATAAAGGAAGAAAGAGATAATTATTACTTTTCATACGAAAAGCTTTCCTCTCAAAACTTATCTCTCCTCGTAAAAGAAGACGAAACCCGCCTACAAAAAAACGCTCCTCCAACGCACCGACTTCCCCCCTCTGACTCCATGTGCCCAAATAAGCACGAGATCTGCCCACGCGTTACCGAGTGCTAAGCTGCCACCACATTCCTCTAAATCAATTAAAGAACAGACAAAAAGGCCAACCACTAGTGAGAGCTCATCGATTTTAGTGTGGGTTTTGGACCTCAAATGTGACGAAGCGTAGCTTTTCTGCTTCAACCAAAAAAATAAGCAATTCTAAGACTTCGAATGACTTAATTCGCTGCTAAATAGGAATATATCCTCCTTTACTTTAATGGAGAATACTCCAGATATAAACGAATTTGGTAGATAATCCTTCCAAAATAAATCTCTAATTTTCATACGCTTCTATGACCTACTGCCAATGCTAGAATTGAGAAGACGTGTTGAGCTATGCATCGAAGTTCATGGTGAACACTTTCAGCATCTCAAATGAGTTATTGAATGTTTAGCATGTTTTTTTTATTCGTAATAGTATGTATTTGCCAACTGTAAATGAAATATAGCATTAAATTTTCCCTTCTGAAATCAATATAGGACCTATTTTATTATGGCTATCAGATTCTTTGTCCCATATTCTGTTTAGTTTAACTTATAAGAAGGACTCATAAGTAAAATGAAAGGCTACTTTGCTACTGGAGTTACGCAAATACCAGTGAGGTATAGGCTCAAAATTTATTTTCTCTTATCAATGCAAAACCAAAGTAACTAAGAATGGATTTCTTTATTGTGACAACCATTCGAGCAGCATTGATAAAGTAATATTATACTTTTTAGAGGAAGAGAACAATAAATACAGCATCTGAATCAACTGAAGTTAGATGGCTAATACCTCGGTTGCGTAGCGACACGTCACAGAGGCAGGGAAGTAAATAGACTTTCGCCTAATGAACAATTGCATTTCGGTTTTTTTGGATTTAAGTAGAGATACACTTTAGCCCACATTCCATCCCTTTAGAATATTCATTTATAACCATAAGCATAAAAATTAATGATTGACTGATAACTGGAAAACCTGAAATTGGTGCAATTCAACCACATAAGAGATCACTAGTTTATTTCTGTTTAGTGAACATCTTCCAAACTGAAAAAAGTGCGAAATTTGATTCAATATCGCCTTGGAAACTATTCACACTTCAAGTTATCAAACGCTGTCCTAAGAGAACATATTTGTTTGTTATATTTAAATTACCTTTCTCTAGCAATATAAATTGACTAATAAGCAAATTTCCCTTTATGTAATAAATCTTTTTTTTTACACGATGAGTTAAATGCAACATTGTGGTATTAAGTTCTTTCAATCAAAATTGATCACATGATCAATGCTTATCGAATCCTAAGCAGCGATGTAGATGGCTAATCAAATTGATTAATTGCAAAATCAACGAAAATGCGGTTCTAAAGCACCTTTGATTGGGCTTGGGCGGTTTCTTTTAACTGTTTAACCTGGTTTCAAAAGAATTTGTGAAATGATTACCTAATCGAAGTTTACAAGGTTGAATAAAAAATATCTCACATTTGAAGAGACTTCGAATAGATAGAATTAAAGTGGGATAACGATATTTTGGATAATCCAGTAGCACAGTGATTAAAATCCATTTCTGCCTAGTCAGGAAACAAGAGACCGATATCCATTGGAGCGTATTGGGTGATGTGGAATATAAACCACATCTCAATTTGTTAGCTTCCTTCCTGTTAACTGAATACGTTGTCATGATCTATAACTAATAGCCGTGGGTATGTTTAAAGGAATATGTTCTCGAATACCCAGTTATTACTAGCGATGGTATCCTTTATTCGTGAAATACTCGTAGCCAACCACCCCTCTGTTGGTCCGCCATGTTTAAACTGCAATTTTAATTTAACTGCATATATTTGAGGGCAGCAAACTTTATATACAGTGGCTAAAATAAAATAAAAGTTTCATAAGTCTCTCAACAATTAGAGGATTTTAGGTCTCGTTTGAGATGTATAGCAATTTACCTGCAGAAGGAAGGGTGCTTTGACCAAAATTCGAAGCTTTTAACCACAAGAATTCTCCCATAACTTCTATTTTGACATTCCTTTATTTTATTTTATTCTATCTTCTTCAGTGTTGCCAAGAGAAATGAGGTCCTACGTTCTCTATCATACCGAAAGTGATATTGAGGCAAGCAATTGCTTCTTTTTAATAAAAATAATGAAGCAATTTATCTTTCTCTATTCATATGGGATCTCTCTTATTTTGGTCACCTTGTGTACTTGTTGAAACTCCCTTTTCTGTAGCTCCCGAAGATGTCATTATAGATGCTCCTGAATCTATTCATAACCCAAAATGAGGGGAAATTCTTTGAATCATGAGATTTTAAATGCCAATATGTCTCCACCATTAAAAATTTTTCAATCGGGATAAGAAATTGAGAGTTTATTGCTTCGACAAGATGTTGAGACATATCGAATAAGAAGACTACTCAAAATTCGTCCTACACGAGTAATTAAATAAAAAATGTTTTTGCGCAACTTTGCAGGCCATGAAAGGAACTTTGGGAGCTATGACTGTTACAAGCCTTTGATAAAGCATGAAGAGGACAAATATGATTTTGAAAGCAATGTGAGCTTTCACTCTGATATCTTTAATTTCGCACCTTGACAGAAGTTTAGCTAACTTGTATTGTTCTGATAGTCAACCTAAGTGAGCATTCTAAAGCTGTTAGGACAATTCGACTTCAAAAAATAACTAAAATATTGAGCAATATACAGGAATAAACCTTCAAAAGTAGAAATTATGTAATTACTAGGGGAAAAACGTATAAGAAAGCTCACCAGTAGGGAGGATGATATTAGCACTATCAATGATGGCTTGGGCCATTTCATGATCTCCACGTTCTGCAGCCTCAGCAGCACATTTCAGCGCGTCCCAGATTTCCTGGCGACCTTCAAAGGCAGGGGCGGTATCCCAAAATTCCTCGCGTTTCTGCCGCAACTGAGAGGCATAGATGGGCTGTGAACTAATCCATCGTGTGGCACCACGTTTCAGGGGCTGATTCTTACCGACGGCTATGTGATGGTTAATGCATAAAGCATATATAATATATGAAGAAGGATATGAATCATGATAAAGGGGGGAGGGGATCAATTCCGATAACTTCAGCTGCCTTAGAGACAGATATATGAATTGGAATGTGAGATAAGGAAAAATAGCAAAATGCTAGAGGCTCCCACTAATTTTTTTTTCTATGAATACTAAAATAGGTTGTATAATGTAATGCAATGCATTGCAGTGGAAGTACACTCATCTTTAGGAGACAGCAAACCAACTATGTACATGCTGCAACTGAACTATTTATTTATGGCCGTGTAGATTAATGCAAAGGCGGTAAATAGACAGCTTTACAACAAAAGATTTTTTGGGATGCACGATTTTCAGTAGGCATAGTTGTGAAATATCACCACAAACAAAATTAAATATAATTCAAGAACGAATTCCTTTATGAGTTCGATAATACAAAGTCTATAGATGGATGAAAATATATCGACGGCTCAAGGACTGTCCAAATTCCACATACATCTTTAAAGTACCTTCTGACCTGAAAAAAAAGACACCAATTTCAATTCATCACCTAAATTATTGCTCTTTCAGGTGTAAGGCTTGCACCAATCTAATCAATAATTCCACTATAGTTTTGTGAAGTACTTAGTTAATGGAAAATTGACTATAATACATATCTTCGTTCTTTGATGCCCGGTCAATACCATCAATCTATATAAATGTTAAAGCACTTCATAAAACGTGAAGAAAAAAATTAAAGAATAATGAATGATATTATTAGATCGACAGCTAACAGTTTGTAAACCAAAAATTACCAATCAATTTTACCTCCTTTCTTTAGAGAGACAATGCGAAAAACCAACAATTTTTTTTACCACAAGACAACAGTACAATTCATACACACAGGATTTTGAGTAGATTTGTGAAGGGCAAATAATTAATAGCATTTGAACACAAAAAAACAAAACAATTTTAGCTTAACGTGAGCTGATATTACTTCCTGTGTGAGTTAATAAAAAACAAAGTGTCAAATTAGCCTCAATTAAATACGAATAATGAGAATTGCGATAAGCATCAGACCGTGAAATAGAATGTTTATTTCCCCCACTCATCTTGCAAGAGGAATCGCTCTGAGGAGAGTAATTCACAATACTATCATCGTATGTATCATATACATGCATCAATGTGTATTAAAAGCGTTGTTTTTTTATACTTGCATTTTGCGTCGACGTTACGCATAAATGAATATAAGTTAGCTATCAATAACGTGAGTTGGTGCAGGGATGATGCCTTCTAAGCTGGAAAATTTGAAAATCTGAGTACTGCTATGAGAAGTCTGTTCTGGCATCTCTACTACGCTGAAATTCGTCAACTAGTCATAGACACGAAGGAATGAAGAAATAAAAAATCCTGTTAATAGGAACTGAAGACTGCGAATAAGAATTTGATCCGCGGTTGAGGGGATGCATAAGTACATTTGAATTTGGAACAAGAAGCCGTGAACTGCCCATCGATTGACTATTCAGCAACACGGATTCGCAAATCAAGTGAAACAATACGTTGGGGGCACGCTTTTCAATCTCTCCTTCCTTCATTAAGCTGCATTAATTTTTCTCATCCTATTCAGTTGCTTCTTCACTATGTCAATTTTCAAAACTATCGATACTGCTTTGGATTAGAGTAATTAAATAATTTCACTGAGGTACAGAATCGGGACTCGTCGATATAAGACGAAAAAAGTTCTTTTGATCATAGAGGCTTTCAACATGTAAAAATTGCAATAAATACCTATCTCAAACTAAAATAAATGTACAAGAAACACTCATGAAATATAAAAAATACACTGTTTAAAAAAATAAACCCTTCAAATATAAGCACATTTATAGTTCAGAAACAACGCTCCATAAAAATAAGTAAAAAAGATCGTGAAAGCAAATATCAAAATATAATAAAAGAAATAATGGAAGATTGGTTTCTGATCTGTTATCAGTATAACCAAGGTGAGGTTAAATTTACGATTCTAGGCAAATTTAATTGTTTATTATTATTTTAAGAAGATTAAACACAAGAACTAGTTCAACAGACTCAATGAAAGGTAGTTTTGATCAAGCCACCTAATTGAAGTAAAAAGAATTTCAAAGCATTAAAAAATTTGTTTGGATATTTAATTTTAGGATGGCATTTCTATCTCATTAAACGAATAAGCTACAGAGAAAACTGACAGATAGCGAAAAATAAATCAATACTTCTTTTTTCACGATAGATTTGCTAGATATACCTTTAGCGTTTAAAAATAAATCATTTAAGGGGAGAAAAAAGTAACCAAAGAACATTACCCATTGCTTGGCGTTTAACTAGATTAATGAATAATGTTTAAACTCGGAAAGTATAAGAACAAGGGTGACATTACAAAATTGTTACATTTATTTACATGAGTGAAAATAAAATAAACAGTGTAATTACATGTATTAAGGAAAAAATAAGAATGGAAAGTGAAGCAAAAATGTGGTCTGGAATAATTTAAAAAATAGACAGAGATGTTTGCCAACAAATGCCGAAGGAAAGGATGGCGAAGAAATTCAATTAATGTATAACTAAAGGCTCGGAAATCTATTTACGAGAAACGGATATAAATAATACAATAGAAAACAGAGTATTTGTGGGAAAACTAATATATTTAGAAAGCGTTAAAATAATTTTAGATGAAATTTGTATTTGAAGCATACAATAAAGTCAGATGGAAACCAAATTATCGTATCGAAACAACGAAAGTGTATGTATTTACTTGTCAGCAGGAATGAAATATTTTGAAAGGAATGACAATCATTTTATTTTATTCAGGAGTTTGATACAAAGTTGCATTGTTCATATTCCAGAGAGTCAAATAACTAAATATTTTCTAAATATAATTTTTAAGAGCACAAATAATCAACGTAAAATGGAAACAAAACAAAAGCATTAGTTTTCAAGCACTATTGATGGGAAGTATCTCGTCATCAGGAAAAACAAAATTATTTATAAGATAATGAACGATTATATTATAAGAAATAATTTCAGACAGTTAAAGAATCTAACAAACTTTACATAGATACCTATTCTAGGTGAAGTCCAATTATTCCCACCACCACGATATGAGGGAACATCTGATCGGTGGAAGCGATTTCCCATTTTTGATTTAAGTGATTGATTTAAACACAATCCACGCACCTTACAACCGTCAATGAATCATTTAAGATTAGTCTATTATATATAAATCATCACTTAAATTATTTTGTTATTGTTTCATATTTTGTTACAAATGAACTTTATTATTTTCAGAAACCCAGGATTTCTCTCGATCATTTGAATAAAGTTGGGCTACTAAAAGGTTTAAAACATATCAACGTTATTAACAATAATCTTTTTAATTTTATATTAATTGTAAGTATCAATAACCGATGTAGGGTAAATTGACTAATTATCGACGAAATGGCGATTAAATATTTAAAGTAGTAGTTTACGAACGTTATAACAGGAATTCAGAAGAACATAATCCATATGGAAATTTTAAAATTCCTCTGCGCGGTTGAGTAATGATCACATTAAGGAAAAAAATATCCCATAATAATATTATGATCTCTGAATAAATTCAAAGAAAAATACTTGGCATTTTATAGATTTCTTACTTGATTTTGCACGAACAACTTCTTTAACAAATATGCTTTTCTAATTCCGGATATATTTATAATTTACTTAATTTTAGATACAAAATCCTAAGCTTCAATAAATATGAATTTGTGAATGGAAGAATTGAAATTGTTTACCAAATCAGTGAACCATGGTTCTTTTTTCATCAGAGCAATTTAAGTACCGGATTATAAATAAACGGTGTAGGGCAAAATGAAAATTCAACATCTTTTCTGCAATAAATCTAATTTACTTAGTAAAAAATTGCATATTAACTCCCTGAATAATAGATTATTATTTGGAAGTCTTTTCTATTACAGTACGAACTCGTATGAAACCTTAAATTTTATGGCTCTGATCTCGTCAGCGATTTTCTAGTAAGGAATATACAGAATTCAAAACTTAATGCAATGTGTATCATATTCTTGATATTGTGGTGTTAAAAGTGTAATTTTAATCAACCACTTTTAGTGCAAGATTCCTCGTTAAACTTAAATATTAATGTAAAATTTCAATTTGATAGAGCTAAAATTGCGCAATTGTAAAAGACATATTATGGAATTACTTCCTCCCATATTCATTTATTACAAACATAAAGTTACCGTTGTTAATAATTGCTATGTTTCAAATCAAATAGCATGTTTTGACGTTTCTCCACAGAAAATTTTTTCATTGTGCTAAATTAACATTGGGATGATTCGATAAAATTTGGAATTATATATCATCCAACCTATTTATCTCGCTTAACACGGTGTCTAGATTTGATTGGTCTTCTCAGTAAAAAATGCATTACAAATGAACTTTCAATTCTATATATACCAAATAACTAAATGGTTTTTATACACATATTTGCCATGAAGGATGCTCAGGCATTCTAAAACTACATCTTAAATCGTAATTAACATAGCAGCGATACATAACTATTTAATTAAATATGAAGTTCATCAAGATTACTAAAATGGTTACTGATTTCATCCAAAAATATACATTTATGAATATCTATTTGAGCATTATAATTTATATTCTTTAAGTATTATTTTTTATTGTATATAATTAAATCTTTCAAATTAATTTAATAAGTATTTTCTCGAATCTGTGTGAGAGTTCTTCAAATTTCTTAGAAATATAGATTTTTTGTGAACTTTACTTTCCGCAATCATTTGCTTGCCTGTATGACCTAGTGGAGAATTCGAATCCCCGTGTCGGTCATCTTTATTTTTAACTTTTCGAACATGCGTTAGTCCTGTATTTCATGGATTATTTTAGGAAACATGATTGAAGCCAAATTTAAAAATCAATCTCGGTGAGTGTTCTTTTTGAAATTTATCAGTCTTATCCTGTTGTAAATTAAACAATTTTATTTATTTTTCTTTTTTGTATACATTTTATTTAAGTGCCTTCACACGAATAGAAGTTTTATTTTAATGCAGGGATGTTTATTAAATTGTCCTGTTTTCTTACAGTTATGAGTGGGTAGAATTATTCGAACCTAGTTCACAAAAGATTATCTATGCAAACCTTGAATCCGGAGAAATTCGATGGGATTCGCCTCCAAATGTCCGAGTGTAAGATTAATAAATTATTTTATTTAAACCTGTTATAACACCCACCTCATATATCGTTGATCTATTCACGCTATTTTGAAAATTTTAGTCGACCACTTTCAAATGAGCAATGGTGGGAGCTATTCGATGTTAATACCCAACGCCATTACTATTATGACGTCCGCTCTGGCACGACTGAGTGGCATCGGCCTCCTTCTGGCGATGTTATTCCACTATCAAATCTTCAGGTATCTATTTAAAACGATAGTTTATTTCTTTTCTTCATTATTAACGCTACCATATTACTTCATGGTCATTATTTTCGAGTATTTTTTTCCTTAGGTTGATGAAAATTTATTAGATAATTTATAGTATTTTAAATTTATTTTTCCACTTTTTGTTCCTATCTCTAATAAATGGTAGTTATTAATATATCCCAACTCATTTCTTTCTTGTCTTTAAAAATTTTAGTAATTATTTTGAAAAGTATATTTGTTAATTTATTTGAATTTGATACCAGCATATTCTAAGGATGAAATAGGATTCTGCACTGTTTTTTTCGAAAGAATTTTCAGTGAGTAATATAATTTATTGGTAAAGTTTGAACTTGGGCACATCAAGGCAATTTAGAACCTCTCTCTTATGGAAAGCATTTTGTAACTTCTAGTAACTAGCATTAATCAGTGTTTGACCATATGCGTCGCTAATATGCTTCCATGAGCCATTTTTTCATGACCTCTGTCTTTTCTGGCACACACGTGTTTTTCTGTTGGACGTTCTTAGAACGGGAGCTTGAAGGCATTTTTATCTGTCCTTAAGAGGGTGAATTCATAAATAATGAATAAATGTACTCCTTTTGCACCAATGAAATTAAGTCTCAGGTCTCTTAGTAATCCTTTATCGCGTAAAACTTATAAGACGCAATTTTCTTTTCAGCTAATCAAACAGTTTGCCAACTCTGACAGTGGAATAGAAAGGGTGAGTGCCCAAATTTTAAATCTTAGCCTCATTTCTGTTTTTTCCCCATAACTTAGGATGACTCTTTGTTAAAGTACTTGGGTATTTGATTGGATATGTATTAAGGTCAAGCTGTTTTTAGGTCAATGGATAAATTACGTTCCTTAGTTTGTCCATTTTTAATGTCACATCGAAATAGCCCACTGCACTTCATCCCAAAAATATATTAGGAGTCATTGGTTATTCGTTTGCATTTCTTTTCAACTTAGCTATCTGTAGGGCATAGAACTAAATGAGATAAGAGACATCGCGTATCACTTGCCTATCCGGTGTACTATAATAGATGTTTACCATGGCGTTCCGAACGCGTGTATTCGTACCACACAACGAAGCATAACGTATCTAAACTGTGGGGGTTTAATGATGAATGTTTCCATTGGCTTCCTTGTTCTTTCAGTCGAATTCAGAGACCAATACAAAGACTCTAGTGAGTTATCTACTTGAATTTCATGTTTTTTCCTGCTCACTATCGCTTGTACAATTCTATGGCTGTGCATTTGAGCACTTGCTGCGCGCCGGTGGCTGCCTCCACCTTTGTTAATGATACTTGAATGCGTAAAGTGTGTATACATGCGAACGCATTGATGACATACAGACCTAATTTGGACGGGTTGTGCCCTCTCGATTTGCACACGGTCCTCTTTCGGTTGTGTCTTTTTATCACGATCATTTTTGCATACGCATGTCGGCCTTTTTTTCCCAATCTGCATGACTTCTGTTTAAGGTATGTGCTCTGCCTGTCAGCTCTTATTGATTTTCTGTTCTCCGGGGGATCTCTGAATATAGGGCTTTCGGCTCCTCTTCGATTTCGGTTCCTGATACATTTTGATATAAATATCTTCAGCCATGGTTCAAATCAAATGCATTTGTTTATTTAGGCTAAAAAGCGCACTGTTTCTAACAGATCTCTTAATTTTGCCCGCATGAAATGATCTTCGTTGAAATCTTATTCATCTGTTGAACTGGTAGTTGATATGGTTGGGAACCAGAGTTTTTCTTCCATAATAGTGTTGCCACGATGGACATTTCCCACTGTATTAATAAATACTTAAGGCTCTGTCAGCCGTTTGACAGACTTGCTTTTAGTTTCGGACAGCGTGGGCTACTTTTTGGACACATTCGCTCTCCACTGTAGTATTTAGTTCGAAAATTTCATGACCCAAACTCCTGCTTTAAAAGTGAATGGGACAATTTGATGATGATGATGATGGGCAAGTCCCCACTTTTCGCCTTCAGCCCTCTTGCTGTTGTACATGTGTGTGTATATGCGCATATGGGTTGTAGAATGACTCATTGCAAGGGGAAATTTTTCTCGCTTGTCTCGAATGTGAGTGGTATGGGTGGGTGGATGGATGGACGAACACATCTAGACGACAGCGGCTGGTTTTTCGTGTTGTAGACACTTTGTGATCGCGTCGCCACGACGAACGGCTTTTTGTGTGTTCGTCCATTCCTAACTGTCTTCAGCACTAGGACGCTAAACCACTTCATCAGATGTGCGCACTGATGATCAATCTTAACTACATTGATGACCTATGCAGACGTGCACGTTTTCAACTGTGCCACTGGTACGCACAAGTAGGTCTCTGAGACTGCCTTCTGCACCTTAGGCTTATTTGCAGAGATTCTTCTTTTGGCTCCCGATTACCAGGATGTTCAATGGGTAGTATAAATGATTATGCTTTATCTTTTCACACTCCAGGTGGTAGTTATTTCAAGTCAAGCCATAATTGCCCTGTTTTATAGTGTCCCTCTCTCTTTGAGGCTTTAGGTTTCTTGAATTTAAAATAGCTACCTTACACGTTTGAGGATTTTATTACAGGCCATAAATTCAAAGGAGAGTGCTGTAATAATTCCTTATATCGGAGAATTTATCCAATTCCTTTTTTGCGAAATAAATTTGCTTCGCTTGGATTAATTGACGATGTTTTATTTCGAGAAAAAAACTGGTATCATTCCCTACATTACATCTATTACGTTGTCTGCCTTCCAGGCTTCGCGCGTCTAATTTGCTTCGATCTGATCGATATGTAATCGGCTTCAGACATTTTTTCTATAGTGTGGAATCTTCTCTTTAAATATTTATTTATTTCAAGTGGAGGGCTATATGATACTTATCATTAGCCCTTTAGTTCACTTCGGGCTTCACAGAGAGGAGGAGGAACATCAAAGTAAAAAAAAGTCGAGAGGAGGGGAGGGGGCGCAACAGAAGAGTGATTTGTAGATGTAAAAGAGGCAGACTGACACAAAGGTAGTGGGGCCATTGTAGTTTGAGGTCCGAAGTCAACTGCCGGTTGATAGACATTTTTTGCCGTTTGAGTATACGTTGCACAGGGTGCACCACGTGGAAGCAAGTCTATCGCACCCCCCCCCCCTCTGTAAATATCGAATATTGCTCCATGGGCTTTCACTTTTTATTTTTTTGGTTTGCTTTGGCCAATTTTTGTTCACATTTCTCAGCGCAAAATCGTTTTTTGTTGTTTCAACGAAATGTCGCTAATGATTTTTAAAACCGTTTGATTAAATAAGCCAGCCTTGCCAGTGCTATGATCCAATGCGATAATTTTACTAAATTTTAGTAATAATCGAATGAGGATGCATTTCTTCAAGCGTATTTTTTAGCATTTCCCCTTTTCTAATCTTCGCTGTTTTGCATTGTTGCGAATGTATTTTACATTTTGATTTTACCACAAATTTGCCAATTTTGTAGCTAAATTTGTCTGGTGCGCACTAAGACGCGATTATTCTATATTAGCAAAAATCATTTTTACTTCTCGGGAACTCCACTTTTTATAGAATTTATTTTGCCACTTCTTTTTATGCCAATAAGCCTTTTAATCGATTTGAACATTGACATTCTCGACTTTTTTTCCAATGATTTCTTCCTCTCCAACCACTGAACGCATTGTTAGAAGCGAGGGGAGTTTTTTGGTTTGAATAACGGGAAATGATGCTCTCTCTCTCTCTCTCTCTCGCTTTAGGCTTTTGACGGCATATCAGAAACGTCCACTCACCTTTCTCCAGTTTGTTCATTTGCTAAAGCAGTTCCTATCAATAATATCGATTAGTTAGTCAAACTACACCAATTGTCAATGGAGTGCTAAATATGGCGAAAAGGGAAGGGAGAAGGGGGGGGGGGAGAGTGCTTTTGTTCCCCCTTCATTTCTTAATCCTTTCGATATCTGAAACTGCTGAATTCGGCTCAAAATTATCCGTCGATTGGGAAGTTGCACTTAAAGCTGAGCTCCTAACGGAAGCAAATTTTTAGTTGAATATATTTTCCCTTCTCATATTTTTCATAAATAACTTACGGAGAACTTACATCTCCAATTGGGTCTGTAGTTGTAGGTGTGCAGTTGAATGAAATGCCCAATTGCGTTAGTTAAAGCTAACTAATGAGAAGGTGACAGAATTGAAATTTCTCTATTGTGCTGCCTCACTGCTCAAGGTGAGTATTAAAATGTGCTTGGCAGTTATTTTCTTTATCTCCTATTGTCTAAACCACTTTCTGTAAACTTGGTTTTGCAAAGGCGTTGATTGGCGAGTGTCCCAGCTTACGCTTGTAAACGGGGTACCTTGTTTCTTTCGGTATTCTGCCAATGTACTTAGGATTTATTCACTGATTTTATCTGTATTCCAACGCATCAGAGTCGAACTGGTGGTAGTAAAGCTTATGCTTTCATTTGAGACATTGATTATAGCTGCTGTCTATTTGAATGTGGCAATTAAAGCATTAGGAACAGTGGCAGGAATAACTTCGAAGCACATTTCCAATATATTCTTATTATATCTTCCCCTCTCACTTAGTCATCGGAATGTTTGCAACAATATCCGACTACAATTTTATTATTGAAGGCATCTATTTCATTTACGCATGCTAGAATTAAAAGCGTATCGTTATCTCTTACGCATGCAGCCGTATCCGCTCTGCTTTATCGAGGTGTTTATTTTAATTCCACCCTCCAGGATATTGGGGTAATGCATCGATATAAGTTGGGTTCCAACACCAGTGGAGTTCGCAATTCCATTCACATGACACCTCAAGATCATCGGAAGATGCCATCACCAGTATCCGCAACGCCACCGGTTGTATCGCGTCATGTTGGGTCTAGTGCTGCCACCACCGCATCGGGCTCTATCAACCGTCCAGTATCTCATCGGAGACGGAATTCACAACCCTCCCGTTCGACGTTAAATGCTAGATTAGAAGGAGGGGCGCTGTCTTCTACCAGTGGAGGTGGTGGTAGTGCTTCATTTCAACAGAGAAATACACCGGTTTTTGGTGGAGCTAGTGGAGGGATAGATAATGCTCTGTCGGTGACAGCGAATCAGAGGGTCACTGAGTGGCTACGATCGGCCGGATCGGTGCCTGAAGAGGCCGATGAGGAGGAGGAGGAGCCAATTCATTGCACTCATCAAAAAGTGAGTTAACTCTTAACTGACGACATTCGATTATTATTTTTGTGAATTTATTTATTTATTTCAAATGACAGGCGTTTTGATAGCTATCATTAGTCATTTATCAGACTTCGGGCTTCACAGAGGGAAGGTTCATCAAAGTAAAAGAAAGTCGAGGGGTGGGGAACAGAAGAGCGATTCACAGATGTAAAAGAGGCAGACAGACACGAAGGTAGAGAAAAAGGTAAGAT